TCGCGTCACTTATTGGAGCTATTCGTTGATAGTTGGACTACGTTTATGGATAGCGCCGTTGGGAAAAGCGGTGAATCTGCGAAGAGGATGTCCCGGAGGTTCGGAGAATCGAAGAGCTGAAGGTTCCGCGAAAGAATTACATAGCAACCGATCATTTGGCGCTACAAACTGGTCGTAATGCGGGAATCGGCTAGCTGGAGAACCAACAAATCGTAGAATTCGCAAAAATGATTTGATAAGGACAGATTCCCGTTATTTTCCAAGCGAGCAGAGTCACCAGAATCGATTCGCATGTAAGCTTTTTCACGATTCCTGTGTGATTCTCCGCTTCCGATTCTCCGTTTCCCAAGAGCCGAGTTTGTGGAGCCAACCAATCAATTCCTATCTATTCCTTAACTCCGTCCTCAACTCCGATCTGTTCCTCTCAGAGCACGTCTTGCCGTTAGGGAAAATTCTTGCAAACTGCAAACGCTTCAAAACATCCTCCTCTGGTATGACTTCCCTCCTACCTATCCCTCATACTACCAACCATCATACCATCTTTCTGAATTTTCCTAACTCTCTACCACTCCAGTGGCGCTGTGTATCAACACGATATAAAATTGATTTCGCTGAGTAGAGAATTGAAATCGCCAATTCCGCGATTCTTCAACTTGGCACAGGCTGGGAATAACGGCCCTGCAGAAGACATTTCTTTACCGCTAAAAAAAAACAAGGACTCACCTGGATAGGTCTCGGAGCTTTTGCTCATTTGAACGCGGCATTGATAGTCATTCTTCAGATTTCTCATCGCTTCTCCACCTTTACCGATTATTGCCCCCACAGCCGCCGAAGGAATCAGGACTTTTATAGCCAGATCTGCATATCAAAAATATAACAACTTGTACAGCATAAATGAATTACGACTGCAAAACTGAACCTTTACTGTCGTCTCCTTCAAAATGTGCACGCTTGCTTGCAGGCCCATCAAATGAGTCCTGACCTCTCTTAGTACCCGCCGACTGAAGCACCGACAGAGGATTGCTCTCATCACTCCTGGTGTTATTATTGTCGGCCATAGCTTCAGCTAGTGAAATACTGAAAATGATAAATATTATGGAACAATGCCCCAAATATAAACGCGCAGACAGCGATAGCGGTCGTGTTGGGAAAATGCTCGGGTGACAACACAAACAAGGGAAACGTGGTACCCACAGAGCCCCACGGAGGCTGAGTTATTTGCTGCCCTCTGCACTGACGGCTCTCGAGGAAAGTTACGAATAAGGGCAAGAGCAACAAATCGCACCCACCCAAAGTCCCAGACCGTGCAGCAATGCCGCACGGATCGATAATTAAAGGCGGCAGCGGCGCACGCAGCGCGTGTCGCGTGCGACGCGGCACTGGGACTAGGAATCAGGGCACATCGTTGGTTGGGGAATCCCCAACAGGGGGGTCGTATTTGGCCGCCAGGAGAGGGGGGGGGTCGTAATGAGTGCGGTAGCCAGTAACGAGCAGCGCAAAGGTGTCAGTGTGCTGAGTCCTGTACAGCGAAACTTGCTTTTTAGAGAACTCGGATATGTAAAAAATAGTACAAAACTTTCATTCATCAAACTAATCCGAAATAACTGGAAATATTAATAAGTCGACATCATCTCGTAAGTGACTCATACTCTGGTTCGCTGCGGATGATGGGGCGCGTCCGCGATCGCGCTTGGCGCTGAGCCAACCTGCTTTTTTTCGACAACAGGACTACCGATTCGTTCGTATCAGAGTTGCAGCGTTGGGTCTCCTTCACGCGAATCAGCAATTGGGCGGAGCACGAATATAGCGGCGTCAACAGCAGACATGATTCCATCACACGAACGGACACTGTAAACAAGTAAAAAAAAAACTGCACAGGTTCACGCATGGGAACCTCCCTGAGTCCTATAGACACATTGCTCGTGGACAGACTTACGCACAATTTACCATCCTCACCTCCGCGCGAGTTCTACAATGCGCGCGCTCAAAGTTAGCATGATTGGCGTAAACGAACCATATTACTGCTCCTGCTCCACCAGGATAGTCGTTCACAATGCGTTCTGTTTATTGCAGGGCTTGCGAACACGCCTCAGTTGAACGGTACACAGGAAACGGGTTTTTCGCGCAGCTGGGAGTGTTCCCAAGAAATCCCCATCGCGAGATCTCATGAATCCCGAGAACTTCAGAAACAGTTCAAGAGGTTTTTAGAAAGAGAAAATCTTCAAACACTCGAAACCGTTCTCAGATTTGTGAAATGTTGAAAAGAAATATATTGATTCAAACCTGTTCAGTTGAAATCACTCCCCAACGATCTCTCCATGGCAGATTTCTCTGCGATTTTTGGGACCTTCCATAAAACGTTTTTCAGCTAGTACTTTTAGGAAGTGCAAACCTTCATCTACACGAATACGGTCTCTTCTTCCCACAGGTCCGCTTTTGAGGAAGTTATGGTCCTTCAAAGACACCCCACTTTGCTGAAGACATCACGTGTCACATGGCTGTCTCTGCCAGAATCCTCCTCGCTTTAATCAGCATGAGTTGGCGGCGATTTGCCCTTCTTTCGTAACTCTTTCGTGTTTATCTTCTTCTCGGTTTATTCGAATATCGAATATTTATCTTCTTCTCGGTTTACTCGAATATCGAACATTTATCTTCTTATCAGTTTACTCGAATACGCGTCAGAGCGCGCCCAAGCAATTTTGCTTGGACCTCAGAGTGCTTTTAGGAGAAGTTGGCTTAATTTCCTGTTTTTTTTTTCTTTTAATTGCAATTGATTCAGGTACCAGAGTTTGTTTTGACTCGAGGAAAGGTGGGTGAAACCTAATGGCCTTTCTTTTCTATTCTCTTTTCTGAATCAGGATAGAAATGAGCAAAAAGCGAGGGGCCTCGTTCAGGATTGTTACTTTTTCCATTTTTCGCGCTTACTTATACATAAACTTATGAAGTTTCTTCCTCCTCGGGGGGGGGGGCAAAGCTCAAAGTTTATGTATAGCTGGGGGCGGGTCGGGACGGGCTTCTCAAGAAATCCCCAACTAATGCTGTGCCCTGCTAGGAATTGTAGGACGGGGAAGTGCATGCAATGCAATGCAGACGGTTGGCAGTAGTATGTCATTACGATCGACAGAACGGGTCAACCACCCCCCCCCCCCCCCCGTGGCGCATTGTCCATTAGTAGGCAAGCGTAAAATTACACTTATGGGGCAAATATTCCATGGAGACCCATAAATGTAATTTAATACTACGGACGAAAAGCAAGGACGTTTGGGTAAGTAGGGGAGAAAAGCAAAAGAATATGTGGACATTGTTCCAGCAGCTGAGGTGATAGCGAAAGAGAACCTGGAAGACCCCCATGTGAAACCCCGCTGTTTTTCAGCATTGCCTCGACCTCATTACGTTTCGGAACGCACTAAAGGCAGGGAGGTGCTTGATCTCGTGGGAGGTGCTAGAGCTTCGCGATATACCGCTGGCGGCATTGCCATCATCTTTCAAGCCGCAAAAGTGGCATATCTTCTGGAACTGCAGACTGTGCTACCAAGTGTGCAAGGAAGAGATTTCACGCAAACGTAAGGCTGTCTCCAAGGGTGCACACTGCTGTCTCTATTGAAAAGTATCGCCACTTTTACTGATTTATTATTAGTTATGTATAGCCTCGAAACTTCGGGCGATCTGTTCCAGGAAAACCAAGTCATTTTTTCGAATTTCGGTTCGAAAAAATGACTTGATTTGTCATTAAGTGGGAAGAATTAAAGCGCAGTAATTACAACAGTGTTCCAAGGCTATAAGCGCGCACGCAGCCGCAGACGGCCGACCCCGATCCATTCCCGTCCGCGAGGGCCCGGTCGATGGCCGCCGGCCGTTTTTGTCTCGGATCTCGCCTAGCATCCTCTTTCCCCTACTTACTCGAGAATCAGGCCGACACCCATGGATCGAACGTTGCATGCCACGGAGATGACAGATTAGGATTGTCTCCTGTTCTCGAGCGCTATATCAGATGATTTTACACAGGATTATGATTTACAGGAATTATTTAGAGAATATCCAGCTTGAACCATCGTTCCGTTTGTCACAGGACTTTCCGTTCAATCTATATTACTCCAAAACCCTAACATTCAGTCAATGCCAATACCTGGAAACTTCGAGACCGGAACCCTAGTTTTGACAAAATGCCATAGCAAGAACTGTTTATATAAACAATGACACAGCAAAATATCTCTACATACAAAAAAAAACAGAAGAATAATGTTTTTATCACAGTGGCTAGCAAAAAAATTACAACTTTCCCCACAAGTGAGCAGACGATCGGGGCCAAGGTCAAGCATCACGTCGCGAGAAATCTCCCGTTCGGATCGATGCGCTTTCAGGAAGTAGTGGCCCTACGACCTTTCTCTCTTACAGGCTGTCAATTTATCTGCCCAGATCTTGGGGTTGAGCGCCACACACTCGTCTTCCACTCAAAATTACAGGGACGTAGAAATGTGGATCTATGGAATATGGACCTAACATGGACCAAACTACCCTCTCGCCAGCTGACTGGTCCCTTGACATATTCAGAAAAACGCGACTTGTTGCAATGTTGAAGTTTCACTTACAGTGATTTAAGTTGTCATGAATTTCCAACACGACAGAGGCAGATGAAAGTGATAAGAAACTACACCAATTAAGCGACGGGCGGTTACTCACATCGGTGGGCGGAGGCACACATATATCGCAAGCCTTTGGCGTCCTTGACACGAGCTCCACGGCGAGGCACAAAATCAAGGTCTAAGTTTGAGTAATGCGCTACTGCTCTGCTTATTATTGACCCCTGCATATATGCCCCTTCTCCCGACCCGAATCTGACGTCGCTCCGCGACGTATGCTTGACCCTAGTCTCGGCTGCTCGGTTAATCAGTGGCACCCCACCAGCCCACTTTATGTACAACTTCAACAACCCACCCACCCCCTCCCCTGCAGAAAGACGTCTCCAACAAGAAGCAGTTCAAATTGCGCCCGCTGAATTCGGGAACATATGAAACCCTTCTCCAAATATCATTTTTAAAACATCAATCAAGGCTCATCATTCGACGTCAAATCGTCTCACTTCTCAAAAAATAAACCTCACAACTTCAAATTAACTGGTAAGGTTCTCATATTTCAGTCAAGCACCATCTTGAAACAAAGGATGCCGCTACATATACACGGTGTCTTCAGCAAAAGCGCCACATAAGCGAAATTCTTCCGGTTCGATAGAAGCGAACAAGCGTTGTGGTACCAATCGACTGTGAGCTGAGGGCCGCGGTACAGTCCATCTTATGATGTACTGCCTTCTGAAAGAGAAGACAGGAGATGATTCAAACTACTCTGCTGACTGCTTTCGAATGAAATCAATAATAATAAAATAAAATCAATCAATGTATTCTGTCGACAAATAAGTCAAGGAAACTTTGCTTATTTGTCGACAAACTTGATTGATACAAGACTTTCTAAGAAAAGTTCTCACCTTGTTGGAGCAGGCAATTTACCACCCGTTACATCTTCTCGTTCGAGCATAATTCGAACAGCGTTTCCAAGCGGTCCATCAGAAGCACCTAAGGAAACGATATTAAATCGGGTCGATTGTAGACAAATCAGAAAACGGTCTTACCAAAAATAGGGACGCCTCGAGAGATGACGTTTCGTTCAACGGACTCCCTTAAAATACAAGAATATGGCATGCTCAATTGGAAGGCTCAAAAGGAAACGATATATTAATTAACTAAGAGGTGCATTCCCTTCCGCATAATAGCCGCGCCGTTTTACATTAGCCAGGGTGAGGGTAAATAACTTGTGCGAGGCAAAATTGCATGCAAAGACCACCAAAGATTCGCATTGCGAGCAAGTCTCCACCCACAGATGTGAACGACCACCCACTGCTTGGCCAGTGCGCTTCCCAGGCGCTTTATTTGTGGCAAAAGCTAAGTTCGGGTAACTACAAAGCTCGCTACGCGTTATGTGATTCATGCATGATGGCCACTAAATCATGCAAGCGATCAAACCTGAAAAAAGAGTCATCCCATCGCTTGAAGACTGTTTCCAACCAAGAAGGCGCTTCTCCATTCTCGTTGTACCTATTCTATTCATTGGGGCCACAGGAGCATAGGAAAGGCAACCGCACGCGTTGTCAGATACACTCAAAATTCCTGATATGTGGTAGGCGTGGCTGCGTACTTCAACTAAACGTGGCTGTGGCTCTGCTTTTGGAGAGACCTCATTGTTTCGGGATAGCTGTAATCGTGTCTTTGTCCTATATAGAACAGGATGACAGCTGTCTCGAAACAAAGGCTCCTATGCCATGTTTAAATGCCACGCCTACTCCGTCTCAGGGACAAGCAGTGCAAATGGTGCATGTGACAGAACAATGGTGTATGTGACAGATCAATGAACTTCAAGAGTCATTCGGTTAGCATCTGGGAGCTCATAACGGCACCTCTGTAAACAGATATTGCAATGCTGTATATGGCACCAACATATGGCATATGGCGACCTAATTATGTTAGGCTGGAAAGAAAGTCTTGCCGCTGTTACGAACTCTTTCGCTATTTTCTGCTCAACATAGAACAGAAATTAATTAATATACTCGCCACTGTCACTACAATGCTCCATCTAGTGTGCTGCTCTGCGACCTCCTTCTTCCGAAATGGATAAGCTGCGAGTCAAACAAGTCGATGACCTCTCGACTGCTGTCATCAAACTTGCTGACAGTTTTATCAGCTACGAAAGCTTCGACGGGCAGAACTGGTAGCAATCGTAAGGGCCTGTCAGTGGATTATAGTGGGCGGAGTGTTGTCTCTCAGCCCTGTCCCTCGATCATTTGGTAGGTCTCCATGGCAGTATGGGGTCTCGCGTCATCACGAACGAGGTGCCCTGAAGCTAGTCTCGGTCGTTTTCCTCCAAATTTCCACGGTTTGAAGCTGAGCGGCACAAGTGGATAACGATGACCGTGTGTTCTTACAAAGGCAGCTCGTTGTGCAGCATTCCCCTCACGTCCCAGGAGCAGCACATGAGAAACTTCTTGGAGTGTATGCCTTTGGCTTGATAATATGGGTATTCTGCTCAGGCCAGTTACACGGTACACTGTGGATTGGAATCAAATCATCTCCTTCCGATGAAGGCGGAGAAGGGGAGACTGACAAATGGCACCCGGATGCATTTGGATGTATCATGTGTCACCAATCAAAGATTGACGGATTCACCAAGCGAGTAGTTTTTGATAGCCGACGGGTTGAAGGCGGTTGAGACTGCCAGTTAGGTACGATGGTGGCCTCCGGATCCTCTTTGACAGTTTCGAGAACGGTGCAGTCTTCCACTTCGTGAGGGCGTCCCGACCGAGGTTTCCCTTCGAAGATCGTGTCTCCTTTCGCGAAGCGAGCGAACCAGCGGTGAACAGACCTGATGGTAGTACCCTCCCACGATGCACTGCTGATGTTGCGGACAACTGCCGTCGCTCCAGTGCCGCGGCGCCACTCATAGAAGATGATCACTCGAAGCTGCTCCTGTGAAACTGACATGTAAATAAAGTCAGGGAAGGGCAGGCGCCTTCATGTATCTATTACTGTAAAGCATCGAGAGTGTTCTATAAGCACAGCATGTTACGCCATGTTCAGGCATCAAGAATCGAAAGCTGTAAGCTTTCAAAAAACACTGACAGGACTTTCTTTCCAGCCTAAAAGACAGAAATGCCGGAAAAACTACTCGCACCTTTGTCGTTAGCCATTCGATTAATATCTAAGACCTCACAGTGCTACCCCAATAGTCATAGATTGCATCGCAGAATATGCCACCAACAGATTTCATTACAAGTTGACAAAAGAACCTTTTAGTTGAAGCGTTCTCAATAAGTGATGTGATAAAACTAAAGAGATCATCCTCCGTTGGTGGTTCGATCAAGCTCCCAGCGTTCTAAAAATATGCGGGATCGCAAGAGTTTCTGCAAAACTTTACGGAAATGAACAATCAGTCTAACAACGCACTTCTACCACTCGAAGTTTGCTGTACAGACTCTGATACTGGCAAAGGAAAAGTTCCGCAGCCTTCAAATGCTTCAAAGCTTCCATAAAGTCGTCGCTGCAAAACTGCCATTATAATTACGACAACTTTAATACATCGTTATGTCAAAAAGATAAAGGAAGGGAAAATCATAGCTTACCGCGTCCCACTTCGATTTGCACGATATACTGAATCAGCTAAGAGCTCCTTGTTAAGAAGGTTCCTCACACATTTCCCTAAAAACAATCATATCTACTCGCGCATACTGCTATATAAAGCGGTCCGAGCCGCCAGACTTCACTCCTATCCTCACTCATGCCTGCGGAAAGTTCACTTGTTCGAAACTCAATAAAGCTTCCTATAGATGACCCTACACAACGTTCCTGGACACACGCTAGCGCCCCAAATGCCTTTTTTGGCACCTACTTATAACTACAATTGGTAAGCGAACAATCCTGATACAATGGGAGCATCAGGTGTGTGGCTGCTCGAAATTCTCCCACGTGCCAAATACGAAAGGAGAAAGCGCAGACAAATAACAGAAAGTGGCTGCCAAGGGGCGAAAGGGCACAGAAACCCAGTAATGAGATGCACGGGGAATCACTTATCATTTAACGCTGAAGGGTCACAGTAGTTGCATAAAGCTATACACTTAGCCGTGAGTGGGAGATTGGCATGATTCCGTGGACAGAGCTCAAGTACTTCGCAGACCAAAGCCTATGTAACTTGCTTCAAGGTTCCTCCTTCGTGGTCGTGATGCCAGCAACTGGCAAGGAACGATGATAAAATGAATGATTTTCAAATGCAAAATGTTGAAATCTTGAGTACAACAAGAACTTGAGCCTGGAAACAAATGTGTCTAGACTTCACGCATCATTTCAGCACAAAGAAAAATGCCAGGGCGACAGCGGATTTTCAC